TAACGCTGCTTGAAATCGGTTGTTTTCTTGTCGAATTGAAAATGTTCCAGTCTCTCGCAATCTATTAAATGTCAACATAAACACTCTTCGGTTTGGCACTCTTCTGTTTGGAAATCGTCGTGCATATTCTCGCACCGCCTTTAAAGCATTACCGTTGCAGAAACCGTATACAAAAACCATATCAGCATATTCACTATTAGAATACGTACGCGGCATATTGCAAAAGACAAAATTCATCTACTGTTAAAGGCTTTCAAAGAGCGACTGACAAATTCATAACAGAAAGTGGAAAATGTAATCAAATATGTCGGTGCTAGATATGGCAAGAAATGTAAACATTTTTTTTCGATTTCTCTGAAACGGAGCAAAAACGAGCATATGTCTATAGGACTTTTTTTCTTAGTTTTTTACTCCTCTACACGCTCCCGAAGTTTTGCCATTTAATTTGGAAACACCCTGTAGATTGATATAGATACATTAAAAGTGATTTTTAAAAAATAATATAGAAAAATGGAAGTAAAAATATATTTAAGATTATAATATTGATTTGTACTTAGAGATGCTCGATGACGTAAAAAAAGGTATTTTCGCAACGGATTGGAGATCGAAATGTTACTTTAAATGTGTGCTGCTAAATACAAAAATTGTAAGTAAAATTTCAATAATTTTCTATAAATGTTTTTTAAACATAGATATTTTTTAAATCATTTAAATTACTTAAATAGAAAAAGTAGAAACAAGTTATAATGCTGTTTTTTTTTACTATTACGGATATTTATAGTTGTCCCGGTTGTCCGCCACAACGTGACTTCTATATAGGCAACTATAATGAGAAATGACCATCAATTCGAATTTATTTATATTCCGCAAACAAAACTGATATCGATAAAAAAATACATACAAGAAGTAGCTCACGTATTATAAGCATTTAGCTGTTCTTGTTTTAAATAAAGGGATTGTTTGCCTAGTTTTCCAGATTCATTTACAATGTTGGTGATTATTTACATAAATATATTTATTTTTCTCTCTTTCTAGATGAAGAATGACAAGATAGTCGAAAAAGCTTTAAAAAATATCGTTGAAACCATGTTATTGGAGGAATATATATCACCTATCATGAAAATAATGGAACAATGTTTACCACTTGGTAAGCAAAATTGATATGTAATGTTTTTTAAATAAAACATCTAAATTAAATTAAAAATAATTATTATCGAATTTTGTAATATATGTATAATTTGTTTGTGTTTGTTTTCTATTTTTGCAGTAAAAAAATTCAAAGGATGTGAATTAGCATACGAATTAGCTAAGTGCAGCTATGATCCTTCGGTAAGACAAATTTTTAATTTCACAAATATTTTTGTAACAGCGATAAAAAAATCAGTTTTAATGAATAAAGAGAAAAAAATGACATTAAGAAGAAATTTAATATTTTATAAACTTGCGTACTATTTGTTATACATACATTATAAGTTTATAGAGTATTACTTAAAATGTGTTATATTTATACACTATACATTACAAATTATAACGGATGGAGTTCTAAAAGGGTGAACCCTCCGATTTTGTTGATTGATATACTGATTACAAATATGATAATGAAAATTACCGACAAAGTCATTTTCAAAGTCAAATATAAAGAAACCTATTTTTTTTACATTTTTTTTTTCACATTTGTCCTTGAAAATGATTCACTCGCATGAAAAGTCGTTACCCAAGCAAAACAACAAGTCATTATGATATCAAAATGATGTCAAAATGACTCCAAAATTATCATTAAAAGTCATTTTTCAATCATTTTCGATTCATTTTAATGTCATTTTGACGTTATTGTGACTTGTTGTTCTGCTTGGATACACTCCTAAGCAGAGGCGAAGGTGGAGTGGACTTAAGATTAATTAAATGTCTTTTAACAAAGTAGTATTCACAATTTCTGTTTCTTTCAGCTTTCATTTTTGCAGTGAAGACATCTCTTTCAATGGATATCTTTCATTTGGATAATTATGGGAGCAATTTTGGCTCATCTTATATAAGTCATATGAGGAAGCCATTTCAGAAATGATTATACATTACGCATTGAATAAGGTTGAGAAATGTTTCCAAATATACAATACGTTAAATATGTTAATTGTACATGACAAAATAAAAATTGGAAAACATTATTAACATTAAATCGCATTTGCACATATAGTATGTATTATCGCATTTTCTTGGCAATTTTTTAATTTTCATGCAGTCCTTATGATTTTTCAAAACATGCGGAAGAGTGAAAACTTTTTTCATTCTATGTGTCGAAATCTTGTTTAATCCCGTTATTTCTACAAAACTGCATTCTCGCAACTGTCTGGAAGACTAATCCCGGAGTTTAGCATTTGTTGAGTAGTAGGTAAGCTACATTGATTCTAATTCATAGGATTCCGAGAAAGATGAGGTGCGAAAGAATCTCGCGGCGTGGGAGAGGGGAATAACGTCACAGAGTGCAGGATGCGCAGGGAAGGAAGTACATCACAGGGCGCGGGCTGCGCTGGGGAGGCAGTCCGTCACAGGTTCGCAAATAAGAGGGAGAAATGCGTCACTTGTGTCGTATAGCTAATATAGCACACACACACAGATCATGAAATAATTTCTTCTTCAATAATATAGATAATCTTATTTCAACAAATTATTTCGAATGCTCTTTATAATATGTGGCACATCATAATTAAAAAAGATTTTGCGTCCTCTTATTTCATAATATGGAGATTTTTTTAAATACTTAAATATGTGATAGTTTTTTTATTTGACGGTTCTTGATCGCATACCATACTTATCAAAATGAGTCCTATATCTAATGTAGATTATATTGTTTTTGTTATGAAAATACTTAAATCGTACTCATGAACATTTTCATGTGAAATAAAATAAGCTATTGGTTGTTTTCATAAAAATTTTAAACCTCATACCATAAAATAAAGATCATATTTTGGAAATTTATTAACTCTACCAAAATATCTAAAATCTTGATAGCCTAAGCTAAGTGAACTTGCAATTCTTTATTTTTCCCATTTTTAATTTTACAAAACAGATCCATCATTAATATCCCAGCAAACACAGATACATAACTGTTATATAACATGTAACTAACATGTATGTTACATGTAATGTACATGCTAGTTTGTAATTTCCCACTCACAGATCTAACATTTGTAATATAGCATATGTTACATTGTAATTATATGTTATAAGTATTGTAACCTTTTAGTCTATGAGTATACATGTTAATTACATGTTGTACAATAGTTAGAGTCACACACAGAATGACATAAGTTCCATAACCATAGCACAAGGCCGCAGAGCCTGTATTCTGTAACGTTATGCAGTCGTTATGAGCACATAACGATTACATAAAGAGTTACAGAATTCCACTACTGGACCAATGTGCATCTTATGTAAATAAACGTGGCGTTTCCATATAGCAGATGTCCAAGGGAAGTTCTAAAGATCGAACAGCCTAGGCTATGTTCAAATTCCTACCCGAGTACCATTCAGGTATCATTCTATCTTTATTATTTATTGAAAGTTAAACAAAGATAACATGATACCCGGTAAACACCCGCAGGATGAAAATCTGAACACGCCCCTGAGAATGTCCCAACGTTCTGAGAACATTTGCAGAAACATTTCTAGGATAAAGTGTGCTGCATAATCATGGCATAAAGTCGCTTGACCAATAAATATCCGACATAAAAACGCCATATTAGTTTACATAAGATGTTCATTATAGTTAGCAGTCTTATATGGCTATGATTATGCAGCTTATGTCATTTTGTGTGTGATAATCTTTTGTGCTTGCTGGGATCGGTATGTGTATTTTAATCGTAGAAAAGGAACGATTTTGCAGATGCGAATTAAAATTCCTTTTCTACGGTGTTAAAATATACATACTAATGTAAGAGTACTTTCTATGGGTTCAAATGGCTCAATTGTATTATCCATGAATTAATTTTTTAATATTATTTATTATTATAACTGATTAAAGAAATAATTAAGAAAACAGTATTTCTCCTTTTAAATGTCCTATTATTTTTGTTGTAATATTTGTTAGAATATTAAATATAATATCTATATATATGTATATATAATAATTGTTTTAATGAATAACGTAGTTTTTAAAATATTTTTGGCACAAAACAAAGTACAGTTTATTTTCGTTATGGAATTTAAAACTCTATTAATCAATTAATAAATTTGCATAATAATCGATGCATTATTTAGCACTAATTCAACACAATTATCATGTAAACAAATAAAATTCTAATTAATTGTTTTTACTAGATGTATTTGGAAAATTCATCAAGATGTTATCAATCGCGCCGCAAATGTCTTCAAAAACTTCTAGCTCCTCTCTTTCGCCATCGATGATCACCAGTTGTTTCTTGTAATACCTAAGGACGGGCTTGATCATTCGACTGTGTTTCTTAATTCGTTGCCAACTTTCATCAATACTACGTTCTTGTCTTTCAGTGGCAGTGATGGTCTTGGCTAGGACTCTATCTATTAGTAATGAGTCTCTGACATATAAGTACAGAACAAGGTCTGGCGGTCGGATTTGTCTATTGAAATGCTGACACTGTGTCTTCTCTCTAGGAAACCCGCTCAGTAGGAAACCTCGCGTATCATTTAAGCTGCTCAACATCCTTGCCTTGATTAATTCTATCATGACATCCGAGGGAATTAATTTACCTTCCGACATTAAATACGCCAAGATAACGCCTCTTTGTGAACCGGTGGATACTTCACTGCGCAACAATTGTCTGCTTATAATGGCGCAAAAACCATAATGTTGTGCTACCCGTATACATTGTGTCGCTGTAGAAAAAAAGGATCAAAATTATTTCTATTATAAAGAAGTTAAAACTAATTCCGTATCATTATATTCAAATGTAATAACAATGTTGTATTTCATTTTTATTTTGCATATATATAAGGCATTTTCCAGCAAGGATACAGTGAATATAGTGAATCATTTCATCCTTGTTTAATGTTAGCAAACAACAGAGATATAGATTTGTTCGTGTTGTTTGAAATCTGTAAACATTTTTACAATTAAAACGAAATAAATATATGCAGATATTGAAAAGAAAGAAACCAAAGTGCTGAGTGCAAAAAGTGCAAGCAACTTGGACAGACCTAATAAATCATTGTGTTTACTTATGTCCTACTTACTGGAAAATGCTAATATATACATTTCATTTTAAATATAATGCATTTATATTATACAATTATTTCAACGGTATACAACAATTTAATATTTTGTTATTTTATATAATATATTCCAAATCTCTCTGGGATTATTTAGTAATATTTTCATTAGCTAAAAGAATTTGCAAATACAAAAAATATTAACTTTATTGACTTGACTGTTTGAAAGTGTGTTTCATTCGTGTATAAAGTCACAAATAAAAATTCAACTAACACTTTCCTGCTCCCGGACCTCCAATCAAAAAGATAATTGGAAGTCCTGATTCTTTAACTGGTGTAGCATCGAGCTCAATGTTTCTTGGTATCACAGCACATAAAGGATCAACAGGTCGCACGCAGTTTAGGCCCATCTTTATCTTCTACAAGTATTATTTATTGTTTAAAAATACTTTAAAAGTAATTATTAAAAGTAACTTTATTTGATATTTTTTTAAGTAAAATTACGTAAATAAAAATTTTTTGATACATTTGGGGAGACGCTATTTATGTCATTCTATCTCCATCGTTTATCAGATGTAAAATGAGAGTAAAATGACACAAACAGCGCTAATAGCGTCTCCCCGAACGCACCTCTTATATGACATACTAAGGTCCTTGAAGTTGAAGCTTTAAATTAAATGTAATATACGTGATGTAATGCGCAGTCTATAACTGAGCCATAGATAAAACTGTAAGAGTAAGAAATTGACCAATCACAGTAGAATGTGGGTAGAATAATCGACTGTGATTGATCAATTTCTTTATACTCTTACGTCTTACTCCGTGTATTGTAGATGACACATTAGAATATAAGGTTTTACTTATGAGATGCGCAACATTGACCAATCAGGGAGTTGCCACAAATACAAAAATCAATATGGCTTCACCTATAATCTGCAATAGATTAAATTTAGGTTGTATGTTGTCACGATGCTATCGTCCAGCTAACGCTAAATATTCCTGAAATATATATATATATATAATATGAATATAAAAGGTTCCTAAAATCCCCCAAAAAAACGCTTCAAGAGTATTATGGAATATTCCGAAATATTTACGAAATGTAAAAGCAACATTCAAATATTTCAAATTTCGGTTTGAAATTCCATTATATATCCATTATATGTATACCGTTACATATTCCGAGAACGCTCCATATATGTTCCGCAAAATTTTAATTTTTCCAGAAATTCCAGGTCCGTTCGTCTCTAAATCAGTTTTTAAACAAAATTTTGTTTCGAAAAATACATTTCACACTTTAGAGCCCAATTTCGGGAATTACTTTACAGGATTTTGTTTTTAATTCCAATCTATCAGAGAACACAGTACCTAGAATTCATCCTTTAACCCGTATATTACCTTAAAGTTCTTTGTTCTTATGTAGTGCGAGATAGTGTTTTTGATATAGGACTTTAAGATTAAGAGTTTCAGGAAAGGGAAAAATTTGCAAAAAAAACCCTGTGTATTTTACAGGCGAAATGCTGTGCTCCTTATATAATATTTGATTCCAAATGACTTGTTAACGAGTAAACGCTCTGCCGCGGTCCTCTGTCGGCGGAGATGTGTATTACTCGCTCGCTCGCAATTTTCGTGATGTTTACAAATGAGTGGAGACTCGAATCCTTTGGGCCTGAAGAAAAAGAAGATGTATACAAGGAGTACAATTCTGAACGTTTCATCGACATCATAGTAATATACAGGGTGTTCTCGACCATCCGTATATCCTTTTTATCTTCACAGGATAAGGTCCAGTCAAAAATATGTTCAGACAATAATTTTAGGACTTCTAAAATCTATTCTATTTACTATAGCCTTATCAGTTTGACTTTGGATGGTCGCCAAAGTCAAGTCAAGGTCACATCAATTTTTAAAAATAAAAACCTCCATTTTTTATATTTTTGTACTTTATCTTAAGAACTTTTCAAAATATTATATAACAAAATATGTTTTTTTTTTTAGTACTATTTGTAATATTTACTTTTGTAAAATATTTCATACGTCGGTCGACAACTTTTTAAGCACTTTGATTGGCTGCAGGACAGAAAGAGATCTTAAGACTCGCACCACATCAATTTCTCAGTGCTACAATTTTTTCAGCACTGTCGGTAATGCGATACGTAGTTCGCGTCATTCTATATTGATGTTGGTGTCGCTAGTGTACGGAAACTTCCAAGCGTCAAACGAAAAAAGATGACCGCTCTCAGGTTTCTCTCTGGTGAGATTAGGTTGGTATTACTAGAGACCCTATTAAAGGGTCTCTAGATATTACATTTATCGTATGATAAAGTTTTTAAATTTATTGATTGGCTATAGGATAGAGAGATCCGACAACTTCTCTTTCTTTCAGCCAATCAATAGGCTTAAAATGCTTTGTCGTACGACAAATGTAATAACTGTTCGACACTGTAAAAAACTAGGACTGTATTCTAAAATTTATGTCATTACTGAAAATCTACAGTCATCTGGTAGGCGTACTTATTTTGCAATAAAACCGTTAATTCTGAAAGATTTATAATATAACTTAAATCTAAATTAAAATCATAAATCTATTATTGATACGCTAAATATAACCGTAAGAATAAGAATGGAAGACTACAATGCATTCTGGTGTTACACTAGGAAACTATAAATCGTGTTTCAAACTTCCAACAAGTATCACACGATGGAACACAATGGGTGCTTTCTAATTGCTTAACACAAACCAACACAAACGTAGCAAATTAATTCACATATTTTCAGTGTTAAATAATTTAACCCTTTTAATTACACATTATTTGTTGTCATGATAACCTCATAATCTTAAATAATTTATTAGCACTGAAAATATCGGGAAAAAATGTTAGAAAATAGACACATATATATATATATATAATTATAATTTTATATATTTTTTTATATAATTTTGTACAATTATATATAATTATGTATGAAACATTTTTTTCCCGGATATCCTTTTTATATCTCACTTATAATTGTATAAATAATTATATTGATTAAATGTTTTTATATTTAACAATATTAAGACATATCTATTTTAATTTTGTCACTTTTTCAACGTAACCTCAAACTTCAAAATAGATTAAATTTTTGAAAAATAAGTCAATATAAGCAAAAATATTAATAAATATGTACAACATACTGGTTTGACGGCTACAATCAAAGCTAACTAGTTGACTAGTTTAGTTGGCTATTTTTCATAGAGACTTTTCATACAGATTTGTTATAAATATTATTTCTATCTGCAAATTTTATTCCATTTTCAAGAAGGAAAAGTGACCAAAGCTGTGAACATAACCTGTGAAAGACATGTATGAAATTGGAGAAAGCTTCTGAAATAGAAAATTTTTTCACTGCGGTGAAAGAGGAATTTTTACTTACCTTTTTATTGCAAGAGTGACAAATTCGGTTATTTAAATAGGTATTAAAATTAATGTATATGCAATTATTTACAGTCTACTGGTATTGGATGTGTACCAATATCTCGATAAGATGATAAGTATAAGTACAAGCTGCAGATTCGCGCTCAGCAAAATGATGGTCAGCTCTGAATTTTGTAAATGATGTTTAAGACTCTTGATCACCATATCAAAACGATTGCCACATCCCCTGGATCAAATATGCGGTCAAATTAAATAATATTGCCATTAGATTTTTTAATCAAGTGAAACCATGATTGAAACATATATAGCAATTAGGTATATGCTTTTGTATATCAATTTTCAGCTTTTAAAATAAAAATCTTATTCAGATTACTAATTAAACTTTATGATATTAAAAAAAATCTTTTTAAAATGTTATTAATTTTTCCAAGTTTTTGTTTATTCAACAGTTTATCTTATTTTACACAAAAAAAGCAAAAAATTGGAAGAATTAAGATGTAATATTATTATGTCAATATTTATTTTTATAGACTTTAAGATAAGAATGTAAACATGTATAGGACATGCATTTGTATGTGTCGAATCTGATAGAGGGAAATGATAGGTTTAAAGGAACAAGTTTCGAAATTAACCCTATGTATCATTAATGAAGATGAACAGATACGTCGCGAGATACGAAAGAATTCTTCAGTCAACTTGCTCAAAAAAACAATAATCTATACAATATAATCTACAATATAATCTAAATCTAAATCTAAATAAAAACTCAATTGTTTGTTCATGTAATCTTTAGTTCAAATCAAGATTGTTTTATACGTACAAAATATAAAATTTATATATAAAGCAAGTATTGTTATGAGGCGATGTCAGAAGTCGGTAACAAAACAGTAATTTTTCAATTTTTTTTAGTTTTTGACATAAAGTCGACCGGTTTAAACTACATTATCGTTTATACTTTAATTGTGGAGAAGGATTTTTTAATCTGTAAAGGCAATTAGAAAAATAACTGTTATTTAAAAAATAATCGGTAAAACAGATTTTAGGATCCTCTTAATAACATATCGTTTATCGGAAGAGAATATTCCTGTTTTATCTTTCTTAAAGGTATACAACGTCTCATTAAAAGTTTACCACTATTGAAGGAGAAAATTCATTATAAACTAGTATGATCTTGCAAAGTTTTATTGAGCGAATGTAGGAAAAGACAGATGCGAAGGCAGTTTGTATAGAATTGAAAGATAAGATACAGGAACTTGTGGAGACTAAAGATAACGAAATGATAGGTATCGAGATGACCTCAATGACTCTGAAGAAAATCAATGTATGGATAATATACTTATTATAAAATGCGATTTAAAAATCGATCCCGTTAATATTTTTTGTACATATATATATGTATATATATGTATATAAAATGAGCGCACTGACTGCGTTCAGCAGAACACAATAGTTTTGCGACCATTTTATGATTATCTGCTGAGATGGGACCTTCCCCCTAAATCTAAAAATATAATTCAATCAGCGCGAAGAAAACTTTCAACAGTTGCAAAATAAATGTTCTCCTGAATGCAGCTATTGATATGTCAAATAAAATGTATGTGTACTCTATATAAATTTGAAATAAACAATGGCCGTTTTCTGATGTATACACTGCCAATATTAAAAATCTATGGTAGTATATACGTAAACTATAGATTTTCGAAAATATAGTTAATATTACGTATAATTATAGATTTTCAATACTGGTAGTGTAGACATCAACACGACCAATATAATTTAAAATAGTACGTCTAATAAATTATTTCCCAGAGAACATTATGATGTTTTAAAGACATCATTTTAGATATCTAAAAGATGGCACAAATAAAACGTCTGAAAAACATTTAAAAGACTAAATACAATTTTAGATGTCTTTAATTGAACATCCTAAATAATAAAGACGTCGTAAAATAGATCTTAAAACGTCTTTCTGATAATTTTAGGACGTCTTGTAATATAACTTTAGGGGATTTTCGGACGTTTTTAGACATTTTTAAAACTTCATAATGTCTGAGAAAATTTATTAATTAATCTTTATAATGTTTAAAAAAATATCACTTTGTATTTATATATACAAGGTGAGTAAAAAGTCCAGGACCGGTGAAATATCTCGAAAAGAAATT